ACGTAAAACATCTAATTATATTCCTGGTAAGCGCATTTAATGCAAATATAATTTTTCATCAGCGTATTAAACAATGTTAGTTACTTCATACATTTCAAGAGTCGTTATTACGGGTGGAACCCATGTTGTGTACTCTAACAGTGCCGTACGCTTCCAAAGAATCGTTTCCTATCTATTCGAAATCATGATGAACGTTAGCTATCATTAGGAAAGTTTGTTTGTTATCAAGAAAATGTCAGTTTAATTATTTGCCCAATTAGAACGGGAAAAAATCAAGAAAAAAGCCCTAAAAATACGAATTGGAAGCGAGCCTTCTGTTCCATCCTACTATTTTGAATGGACCTAAATGGATTTGTTTACAGAAAGAAGCTTATATTGTCCGCATTTGGGGTCAAATGCTAGGCCCGAATTTTGATTCTTCGTTCGTCGCGGAAGGACAACATAGCAGAGAAAGCGCTGTATCGAAACTCACTACCGTTCTTCACTAATCTCTTCAAGCCAGCTTTTTATAATCGTTTTCCGCTAGTTTACGTCTTCACCAGATCCTGCCCCCCTCTTACTTGTTCGGTCGCTAAGCTTTTTCCGTTTGAAGCTATTCTACGGTACGCGACCTTCCGCCTAACAAGACAGGTCTCTCGTCGGAGCTTATCCTCCGTTTCGCCTTTGTTCGCGGTTACCTCTAGCGGCCGGTGTAACCGTCGAATATCCTCTCGTAAGCAAACAAGAAAACCGCCCACTGTTCTCCACGTTTCAACATTCCCTTCTTGGTGGGCCAGGACGCGCTATCAATCTCTGAATCAGGGCCTTCGAAGTTTAGCTGTCGCTGCTGCCAACGTGTCGTTGTTCTTTGGATTGGAACGGGTTCTAGCGCGTCGCATGAAGGCTGCATGAATCAAAGGCATCTTGGAAAGGGGTGGTCAGGGGGATGGAACGAAGGGACCGGCAGTAATAGGTTCATTAGAAGCTAAGAGGCGATGTGTCACTGTTGTCATAATCGCGATATCACAACAACGGCAGCAGTAGTAATAACAGAGCTTAAGAATAACCAGGGGCGGATGGGAGTTCACAACAAGGAACAATCAAAACCAATATAACAAAAATCTATTGTTACTCGCAACGCAATTCGGCGCACGTCTTTCATGCGTTATGAACGTATTAAACTTGTTAGCTAGTAATTATAACAGCTATAGTAACCTATGAGTACCCGTGTACGTTGAGGGAAATGCTTCCGACGAATCAGAATCGGCGTAAAAGATGATCGTTACTACTGATTGGTCCACATAGTGTTCCTTTAACGCCATGCCGAGTTAAAAGCTTTTGATTCTTTTTTTTTTTTTTTTTTTTCTTTAACATACCACAGTACATAATGAAAAAATAAGCTTTTTTCCACGTCTTTCTGCGAACAATTCTGTAAAATGCTGATTTACCTAAGAGTTATCAATAATAATCTAGCGCAAGCACATGCATACGATAATTGTAACGGCACATTGTAGAGTGTGATTCGGCCTTGTTATGTATAGGGAAACTATGCCATCAGTATATACTGATCTGTACACTGAAAGAAAGAACTACCTATTGTGTAGAAGCTCATTTTGAAAACAAGGCTTCGCCATGGACCACATAAATGGTAAGCCATGCTAATGGTTCCGACATGCGAAGGCCGGAATCTGCGTCTGAATCTTGATTTATTCTGCTATTGGCCGGCGGCCACTTCAATTTCTCGACTATTTCGAAATAGTTCGAGATGGCCTTAATTCGAGTAATTATTTTCCAGGATATTGAAATGTAAAGAAGCCGAAGCGAGTGCACTCTTCAAGTGATCTTCTACAACTTCGCCTTATATGCAATAGCAAAAATGAAAAAACAATCTATTTATACCCAAATCCACAGAGAAACTTTCAAGAGTAGGTTTAATTTTTTTTTTTGCGCACTAAGAACAAGAGTGTGCGCTTACGACGACTGAGCTCACAACGAACTGCGATATGCGTAGACAGGCCAATAAGGTCCTAATTGGTTTTCGCGACCTTGACCAATCCGAGAGCACTTATTCAATCAGCAACTTCCTCGATGAAACGTCCAGCCATAGTTTTACTGAAATTTCACACCATTCACTTGCAAGACGGCTAAGTAGATGAAGATCCTGGTCAGTGTTTTTACATCACGATGAGTTCGTTCTGCAGTGAATTTTCGAATCGTCGAGACCACCGCCTTGGCGATCCCCTTCGTCTGATCAGAAATCGAACCGAAATTCAGAGTTTAAAACTACGTAGACCATAAGTACTACGAAGCTAACTTAACGCGTCACTGATCCGTATTGACTTTTCGACCATGTTTGATTATGAACGGATTTGATCTGCAAACGACTACAACGAACACGCCGGCAGTGGCGGTGACAACGGTGATGGTAGCGTAATGTGCAAGAGAAGATCTGATTTTGATTTGAGAGTTCGAACCCCACCGCCATAGGCAGTACTTCAATGGAAGAGTAGCGTCTGTATGACGAACCGAATTTAATTGTATATTGGCTATCATGTATCTAGGATGCTTGAGGGAGTTTTTGTTGCTGAAAATTTCAAAGATAATGAATGTACAGGATAAGCGAGAACGTAATATACCGTACAAGCTGAACCATATTCGATCTGCCGTCCATCAAAATAGATGTTCGGCCCGATGCGTACAGTTTATCATGTGTAAAACCGTATATTTTTCAGCCTAACTGGTAAAATTCTTTTGGCGTTCTATCAATCTTCATTTCCAAAGCATGGAGCTATTTGAAAATAGCGATCAAAATTAGAAGCTATGAATAATTGTTTAAATTAATGGGGAGTCTGACGTAATGCATAGAGCACGCAGTAAAATGCAGTCTGCTTGGGACCATACTAGCGATCGGAGGTTGAGATGATAATTGGTCATCAGCAGCATTTCGCATTGATCAAAAGAGAAATCAACAATACATTTATAAATTTGTATTATATGGCGCCTTCTTGTCTTCAACCTATATGTATGTGTCGAATAACAAGCATATATGTCTTAATAATGCTCACATTACGTAGATTAGAAATCTTGCATGCTTTGCAGCAAGACATATGTACGATACGAAGTAGGCTTGCTAGTCCTTCACAGGTCCATTCTAGTAGAGAAGATTACCGTGTCTAAGTAATGTATTTATTTAGTTATAGAGTAATAGGAAATCATTTTGTATGCTATTGTAGCCACTTTTGACCTAACGTGTTCTAATCTTGTTTTTGAATTTTCAACACAGGCCAAACATCGGCAGCTTTCGTAGGAAAAAAAAAAAATATCAAAATAACGTCCTAAGACATCCACGAACTATAAATGGCTTAGGCAGATTAGGCACGTCCTCTATTACCTTCTGCAATAGCTGTTGATTAAGGCTTAAAAACGAAGGAATCTTATGTCCTTGGCGAAACTTCTGCTCTTAGGGCTGCTCCTTTATTCAGCCATTCAGAAGATTTAGAAATAAAGCGGACCTTTTTCTCTCCCTGATTGTGGCCAAAAACTCGGCCCGTCTGGTTCGATGGCTGTTTCCGAATGGTGGTTCCGAATGGTTCCGAGTGAAAGAGGGAGCGGGTGAAAAACACTGGAAAATCTCATCTGTTGAATCTGGAAAGCTAGCAGCAATCACTATGTCAATTCTAATTCGAGTTTTACGGTTACGTTCAACAGAAATGGGGGTCGGGGGCCACGCGCAGACTCACTCGAGCCATTCGTCGTAGCGTTTTCTGCGACGAGGCCAGCCTACCTTCGATGTTTAACGAAAGGACATTTGGGAATATCGCGGTTATTATTGATTATATTGAAGGGTTAGAATATATAGATTTCTGTTGTGAGTAATAATTTCCCTTGTGACTCATCAGAGTACAGATGTACCCTCGTCACTTTCAATAGAAAACCCGTAGTAAAAATGAGGCAGGTATAGACACACAGCAGCTGAACCCATCACTGTATTTATTATTATTTAGAAAAGTGAAACAATTGCGAAGAATCGCCTGCAGCCGCAACCCAGTACCAATCATGACATCGAAAACGCTTATAGAACAGGATAAACAACAGCTTCACCGCAGTGGGCAGGGCGATAAGGCTCATACACGGAGGCGGAAATCGCCATCTTATTTAGCTTATGCCCAGGGCAATACAATGGCAAAAAAAAGTGGCTCAATTGTAGACCTTTCAACAAAACATTTCCTATATAATTTAATGCCCATACACGAGACGCAGTTCTTTCACTGGGGGAAATGCTTTTTTTTTGCGACAATTTGGGCTTCTATTATTTAACTAGTTGGACTATAGTTGGATTCGTTTCCTGGCTGATGTTCCCGATAACAAGCCTAAATGTTAGAGTCTAATTAATAATTTCAATTATACGCTAAAGGTGAACGAGCTTCGTCGTGTCAGTGTGAGCTAGCCATTACCTAAAAGCTGAATTTCAACAATGCTAGATCTTCAGTGAGAACATATTTTTTATTGTAAGATTCTGTAACTTTGCGAGCTCTACAAAGAGCATAAACAGATCTTCACAGGTGCTGCTGCTGCTGATGAAACGGACTGCATCCAGTTTGCCTGTCCGTATTTCCAGGTTGTGTAATTTATAGATCCGTAGTATATCATAAAAAAAGTACAATCGCTGTTATAGCTAACCAAGTTCTAACATCTATTGTTCTGCAATAACAATTTAAGCAAATGAATTCGGCTGTCAGATTCCCGTAAGCTACTATTGCCAGTTGTTGTCATACCTTTAGTCAACCCGACTGAGTAAATCGAACGTCCTTACTATTGAAGATAAGCAAACTATACCTCAGTCTTTTCAGCCAATCTCTCTTCTAAATCAGTCAATACCCCTTCACTCGTATTAGTAATATATATATATATATATATATATATATATATATATATATACACACGGTGATCTACATATGGATTCATATATGCACAGCAGTACAGACAACCATGCACAGCGTCTGCAAACAAGCAAAGTGCAGTAACAACTATAAAATACATTTTCTTTATTTAAAGTGTTATATTCATTCTACCTATATCATCACCAGGTTGTGCGCCAGGCTAAATTTTAGCTAAATCATATCCCTAAGCCTTGGGAATGATTTAGCTAAAAATTCATCAGTATTTCATCAATGTTACTAGTAGAATGGAAATTTGCCGAAACAAACGTTGTTTTCTATTTAGCTTCGCTCTATAAATAGAAAAGTGGGATAAAAGTTGTGTTGCCGTATCTGGTGCTTTCTGTCAGGCTAATATATTTATCTTCATCACACCCACTCACACTTCTATATAAATGTTGTCCTAGGCTACAGTTTCCGCCGAGGTTCGAAACATTATTTTTTTTTCGTACTCTCGAACAATCTTCTTTCCATCAAAAGAGTCTACGAAGAGATATTGTCAACCTGTGGCATTGAACAATAGGATATGATGAAATCCTTGCATTGCATCGCGATTTTGAAAACGGTACGTTTTTCTGTAACATTACAGAAAACAGATGTGGCGGACTCTATCCAGCAAGCCACGGTTAGTTCGTTCCGACGAAGAGTCAGTTTAGATGCATTTATTAAGTGCACTATTGATTTAACGTGCGTCACTCGATCATCACCAGATGTCCTAAGTGAGCCTACGCGAAACATGCCTTTACAACGGCCTGGAAAATTTCATATCGAAAATAATAAAAGAAATTAGTTTTCACGAAAGCTGTGGGCAATATTACTCATAATCAGATGACCTACTCACTGAACTCTGAGATGCGATGCTGTTCTATTCCGGCTTACACACGAATCATCTTCGGGTGTTCGTATTTAGCGTTACAATATATTAGCAGCATCCGCTAGCTACCATGCGGAAGCGGAACGTGCAGCACGCCTCGTGTGCACTGGCATCTTTATGACGTCGCTCGTTTTGAACCGAATCAACGTTCGCGTTTCATACAACTAACAATAGAACCGCGTTACAAATAATCGAATTAAAGATAGGTGTCCTCTGCTTGTGTACTGTACCTGGAAAGGATATATGTCGCCATTCATCTTCCAACAGCAGCGCTAATATCCTGGACTCCTGTTCCTCGAGGCAACTGTTCGATAACGCTCTGCATGTTTCGCTGCACTAGGATCCTTAACTCAGCGTAATTATACTGAGCGAACGTTGTACTGCGGTCTACCTGATTCGTCTTCAGTAACCAAACAGTGAGGTGGTACGTGCCGCGGAAGAGCTTCTATAACAGAGTGTGATGACTGACTACCTACGTACGTCGATGTTGAGAAATCACCGTTCAACTTGTCGGGTACTGCAGCGGCAGCAGCAGCAGTTACTGCCTTGGTTAGTCGGAATGTGAAGCCATTTCAACAGGGTTGATACAGACGATCCGCTTAATAGCAGCAGAAGACAAACTAATCGTCAATATAGATCCATCCGTAGTCATCGGCCAACTCAATGCTTCTCCAGGAGGATTTGTTGACATATAGTGAACTGTAAGGAGCAGCTAAAGGAAGACAGCGCCTGGAGGAGAAAACATCAGAATTTCCTGTAAACATCGAGCACTGGTGCCAACGTTTTGATGAGTGGCACTAAGGGAATGATTTGGGGGGATTGAGGTAGATTACTGAACACTTCAGTAAAAGCAAGTGGCTTGCAGTAAAACTGTGCCTAATGTATATACTCTGCCAAAAGACCCGTTTAGCTACGCGATGAAGCTGGACGAACTGTGATAAATGAAATCAATTTGACTCATGCATGATTATATATATATATATATATATATATATATATATATATATATATATATATATATATAAGCTACTCCATAAAACAAGTAGATCGACTAACGCTGCAACGAAATTCTAGTTAAAGACATTCGGTTCAACACTGACAACTTACCCTTCGCTCAGGCGTTCGTCTCCAATAAATATGTATCACAGATTGAGACAACTGGGTAAACAAATAATGAAAATCCAAACCAACAGTAGATATCATACTACATTCTAAGGGTTTTAACAAGTTTTTTTTTTTTTTTTTTTTTTTTTTCTCTATATAAAGTGTTAATCATTGGTTTGCAAAAATCTCGCTCGAAAAGAAAAATTTACTTCGTTTTTAATTACAGTTAACAATTTGACACTCGGCGGCACATCGCTGAAATATGCCATTGTTCCCCGATACGCCAATGGCAGTGTAAAGGAGATGACGCTCACAATCGTGATTGGGTAATGGGAAAAAATGCGATCACTCATAAGCACCGGAAAAGTTTTCATCGAAAAATAGGTTTAATGATTGCTGCCCTAAACAGGTGACATACAATGGCACAGTTCGTACGGTTATACTACGTATGTACACGTAGGCTCCATGCAGGTCTGGTCGCATGGTCTCGTAACGAATTACGTTGAACAGAAGTTCGTAGAAGCATGTTCTTGTGAACGTTATTAAAACCTCGTAGCTATTATGTACATCGAATTTGATTATAGCGACTTCAGCTATTTAGCACCAGTGACTGTGACTGTAACTGTAAAATTATAATATGTATTTGTATAGATTATTTCGTTACTGAACTTTATTTTCAGTTAAACTTGATCAGGCAAATGATTGGTATGAAAGAGACGATTCTATTGATACTACCGGCAAAAGCTAAGCCATTCTTGCCTGGTTCATTGGTTAACCTAAGTCTGTTTCTATTGAAACAAATGGGCCTGTATTAATCAATCGAGAAAAAAAAAACAAGCAAGTTCTAAGATGTCGTTAGGCCAATATTATTTCAAATTTCAAAAAAATTACGTGCCAACGTTTGGACATCGCGTCAGAATCAACTAATACGACCATGGTTTGTTGAATATAGCTCCCAAGGTCCATCCTTTCAGCACTGTAGTATTAATTTCTAGCCTGAGGCTAGTTGACCTCAGGTATGTAGAAGTAGTTGTGCGTACGTTCCGATATATATATGTGTGTGTGTCGACCTATTTGTTAGAGACACAAGCGTCTTAAGTTTCCATCCGGACGAGCTAATATTTGACACAGTCTATTGCTGTACAATTTCTGACTGTTACAAATAACGTCCTTTTACCATCACAGCTGCCGCACCAGTTTCATTAGTGATTCCATCCGATCAGCGTGATTATGCTAAATCCACTAAAAGGTGCAAATATAGGCTAAAAGACCCTCAAGATAAACATATCTCTCGGAACAGACGCGTGCCTAGTACGTGCAGCGCTAGAAAACAAAGGTCTTCAACCAATGTAAATCCCCCCACAACGTTCTGTGTTTGCGCGCCAACTTTTAAAACGCCACGGGGCGTCCATTGCTATGTACGCAATCGAATTCCCTATCTGAGTTCGGTTCGCTCTGTTGATTTTCTTCTTCAGCTTTTGCGGTAAGACGCTGAGCTTTCGCGGATCACCAGCTGCCCACAGAAGCTGGGGCGATAATCAATCAATGAATTTCATTGCTTGCCATGGCTTATATGGAGCGCTGCTGTTATTCGAGTGGTTCTGGCGTGCCTACCTGCAGACCTGGCGATAGTCTTTTGGGATCGACTGAATCAGTGTTTCGTTAAGTGGCAATGTACCTATCGATTAAGGTTAGTATAGGGCGTTCTAAAGTTTTTAAAACTCCGCGTAGGAGGAAGAGTCAGTGAACGATCTCTAAGCCTTTCAATGTTAAATTCCGCACTAGCTAGCTAGCTAGCTAGCTAGCTAGCTAGCTAGACTAGTCAAAATTTTCTATGCCCCCGTCTCTTGTGCCTTTACACTAACAAGTGACAAAAAGAAAAAAAAAAAAAGGAAACTCTGTTCAACCGGTTACATCATTTTTAACAACATTATCCGTTTCGCACAATCGGTACTGTCCGTTTCCGATAAAACCGCTTTCTTTATATGATGCACGATTAGAGCGCAAATTTCGACACATTGTCGGCACCATTGTCTCGCACGACATCAATCGCTGTCTGCCAAGTGGACTATTGTATTTTTAGCCAGGACCCATTTTCCTGTCTTCCTGCGTTAGGCAATGTTCCATTTCCTAGTCACATTTGCCAGTTCGAATCACCACAAGTTATCAACCGCGCTAGCAAATGCACATGTAGAAATCCGTATACCAGTAACCCTATCAAAAAATTAACCATACATTCTAGGCTCGCTAAAGCGACAGATAAAGCGCTCGAACAAACCGTTTATACGTTTACGCTTAACTTAGCTACCGAAATACGTAGGACATCCGAACGTAGTTTTTCAAGGTACGCATAGATATGTTTATAACTGTTGTACAAGATAACGTTGACTGCGATCAACTTTATAATTTTACTGCTGGTGATTGTCTAATATTGCGCCGGATAACGTACGATAGAAACGTTTTCCGCCCCAATATTATACGTTTCACAGGGCAGACGTTGTATTGGGTTTATATATATATATATGTAAAACTTTGTTCTATAGGTGAATTGTTTCGTGATTTGTTTCGCGGTACTAGGTAATTCGGTGTGGTCCAGGTTTCTTTTGGCAAAAAGAACAGGGTTTATGCTATACGTAGGTAGAATGTCACAATCCCGAGCTTATCGATAAGTGAATCTATGTGTTGAGCGTTTTGCGATTTTTCGCTAATGGCGCAACGCGCCATTTTTGGGACCTCTGAAGGAGCTGAATTTATTTGAGTACGTTTGAGACGAGGAAGCCAAGGCGCAATCTTACGAGTAACGATTCAGAAAGGAACCCCGACTAAATAAAGCTACACGATCCAGGTTTAAAACCAAGGTGCTCCTGATATTTTGAGTAATCGTTCAGCATAAGTGTATATCGTTCGACTTCATGGCCACTGCGTAAATCTGTCCGACGCAAGAGATCAGGACTGTGGCGCAAAAAGTCCTGGACTTTATATTACGACAATGCATTGGCCCAGGTCTCCACCGCCCGTGTAACAGTTTTTACAGAAAACTTAATATGTGTATTGCCTTTGTTTGGGACGTTAAAGTAAATAAATATTTATCATAGAGTTAATTATAATCAAGGAATAAATAAATATTTATGGATCAAACGACTCACTTATTGTTTTGAACAAAGGTTTATATATATATATATATATATATATATAGTGTAGAAGTACCTTTATTTATTTGTTATTATGCAATATGGTACTGTGTTGTAGAAATAAACGACTGGAAAATTGGTTATGGTTGATTGATGCCCATTTAACCTATTGGCCTTCGGTAATCGAACATCGTCCTGTCAAACAGCCCAAATTAACGTACACGGCCCGCGGAGATAGCGATAAACTGGACGCGAAAGTAATTGACGAACAGAAAATCCAGAACGCGTCGCCGACGATAACGAGACCACAAACATTCACCGCGTAAGCGAAGTTTTTCTTACCATTCATACGAGTTAGACGTCCCAGGGAAACGTGTGTCTCGTATAGCCAAAATGGCCAAACGCACTTTGTCGTCTCCGTTATGAGCAAGACAGCAGTGGTGACGTCAGCTACGGAACCCGCTAAACCACGTTAATGAGAACTGCTGCTACACTGTTCGCGTCCCTATTGACAACTGATGCCGGCTTGACATATTACTACGCAAGGTTTATTTATTTAGAGGATGATCAAACTTTCTATCGCTGGCGGCTGGTGATCGTGATACTCTCGCATACATTACCCGCGTGATATCACACCGGTACAGGTCAGCGAGCTAGGAATACCATCATTTCATAAAAAAGAATTAAACCTGTACACAGTTCTTATCGATAAAGAATCTTTGTTAGTTTTTATTTTCTTTTACACGGGTTGGAATTAGTAAACGTACCGGCGGGACGGGAAGTATTTCCGTTATGATTCTTAGTTCTGCAATCTTGGCCGATCGCTACTAGCTTTGCAGTCGTCAAAAACTTGAATTAACATCGAACTGGCGTTTCCTTAACCACAGGCAAAAACAGAAGAAGAAGAAGTGGGTTTACGCCTGCCCATGAACAAAAATTGAATAGAGACCCAAGGTACTAGAATGTGCTTATTACTCATTATTACACAACGACTTCGTTGCAACATAACCATTTATACGTTACAGAAAATGGAACATAATGTAACTTATGTGGTTATTAGTGTAGTTGTTGTTTACTTGTGTATGTAAGGTCTCCAGTTTACGTTTGACGTAATTGACAGTTTCAGCTAAGGTTTCCAAACGTTTATTGTATGTATCATACAACGATACCTTTGAGGGAGAATGCCCCGCTCCTAAAGCATACATTGCACTCAATACACAAATATATTGAATCGGCGATAGCAGAGACAAAGACATGATGTAGCTAGGCAGAAATCAAGTGGATCTAGCTCGCATAGCTCTATGTTATTACCATGAGCCGATCTGTTAGACAACTATATACTCAATGGAAACATGTCACGCGTCAATACTAAAATGATCCCACGTAATCCGTATAACGGTACGATCATTATGGAAAATTTAAGATAATTCTTACCTGTTTATGTCTATTTACTAGTACACAAAATTATTTGTCTACCTCCTCACTCTTTAGCCGACCCTTTCTAGCTGTACGTCATACGTTTACTCAGCTGGATTCCAGTTGTACGGCTACTTTTCCAGAGCTGTTAAACCACTCTTTTCTACAAGTCTAAATTTTGGGGGGAAATCTCCTGACGAGGTGAATGCGTAACCAAGCGTATAAGTGTTTTTTTATTTGTTTGTAAATGAATCACGAGAGAGGTACTTGCATACATTGACAACAGTTCGGCTCGGATCAGATACGGACACATAAGGAATAGTTCGAACAAATGGAAGCTTGTCACGAGGAAGCTTGGCTTTGCCGTTCTACATTTTCGAGATACAAAAATTTAACCGCAGCTGAATTGAAGTGATTACATTGTACATTATCAAAGTCTTGTTACTTGAATATTTCTTCGTTATGGAACTCGGCTTGGAGAACGGTTCGTCTGATGCGATTTACCCCACCTAACCCGATAGAACCCACCTAAACAACGAAGGTACATCGAGTGTTTTTATAATAGTTTAAAAGCATTTACGATTGAACCTCGATATTAGTTTTTGAGTTCATCGTCTGTATAGTAAACTGATTCAAAGTCAATAGGATATATATCCTATTGGCTTTTAGATATAGATATACCCGCTTGCAAGTTATTGTTTCTATAGAAACTTAGAAGTGTTATATAGCCTTTGTATACGGAACGGCTAATCTGCCCAAAAAAAAAGTTAATTATCACTATTAAATTCAGCCGTTTCGTCGTCGACGCATACGTTGCCCGAGAAACTACCGAAGACCCGAAACATTTTTATCATTATTATTTACCATCATTATTATCACTCTCATTGCGTACAACTTTTTTCAGCTCGCTATATGCTTTCTTATTTCCTTTTCATTTTTCGGCACTGTTTGCAGTACTATTTTACCAAATTAGTCAATTACTGACAATTGTCTTAGTTGTTACTTCTGCGTCGCTCCCCCCTGAACGTCCCCGATCCCCTGCCGCATAGGGGCATACCACAGTGGAACCCCTGTAATGTATCGAACCGAAACGTCGGCCGTTTTCGTTCGGTTCTATGCTTGGGTTCCGTGTGTCTTTCGAGCCTTGAGCCACTAGCCGCCCTTTGCTCCCTAATCACACGCACAGACATCTACATTGTCACTATAATTAACGAATACGTTCATCATCAAGCTTCAATACGGCTTTTAACTGGGTTAATTAAGCAGGGGGAACTTTTGGGAGTTTTCTAGAGAGGTTTTTACGGGAAATTGATGAGCGGGTAGGCTCACGAGCATTATTTATCGATTACCGATTAGCATTTCGCGTGAAACCACGGTCACTCATTGGACGGTCTGCATAATTACCAGTTCTTTTGCGGTTTTCAAAAATAGTAAGAACATCTTCATGAGGCAAACGGAAAGATCTTCAATAGGATTCCGATTCGAAAATTCTAAAATCAAACGGCTCAAGGAACTACTTCTGACACGGCTGATCTTTTGATTAAAAAATTAAGGACCGTGTTAGAGGGCAGAATATCAACTGCCAATGGGATCGTATAGGTAAACTCTAGCGATTAGTTCTTTCAAGAGTTTTCGCGTCTCTACAATGTCAGCGTCATGCTCTAACGAGTTGACCCGTACCTGTGTCGCTTGATGCACTGTGGCTACCAGAAAAGTTCTTTCTGAGTTAAAGGAGACTAGTTGGTGGCTCGGGTGTCGGAGCGAAGCTGTAAATGGCGGTTATATTGAATAAGTATAAGCGTCAGGGATGACGCTCATAAAAAATGCAGAGCAATTCGTTGAAACAACTTTTTTTTTTTGTTTAGGTACAGACTAAGACGTAAAGGACATAAGGAGAATTCTTAATTTAGAAGCGCTATCCTGTAGAGTGGACAGGGTCATCAAGAACAGAGACTAGGGCGCCATTTAACCGCCGCCTAGAGGGCTGTAGCACTTCTAGAAAAACCATCCATTCTACATTTAACCGAGAATCGAATCTGTTTTATGAGACGGACGGCCGAATCGCAACAACAAAGCGGACGGACAAAAGACCGGTTTTCCTGTTCTATCGTAGTAGAGGCGATTCCTCTGACTACGCAGAGTCATTGGCATCGTTGCGTGCCGGCAATGACTTGCCCAACTCGCAGAAATCCCGGTTAGTAACGATCTGTATCACCCTCCTCTTCTCCCCCGACGAAACAGTATAATCGAACCTATACATACGAAAATAGCTCAGGAAAAGAAGACATTGCATGACCAACAAATGACTGCACCCACATTTCAGCCTCGTCTCTGCTATATGGTACCTGCCATCTATTGAAAGCTTCTAAACATCCTCGCTTTTTCTCTGCTGTCATTGAGATCGGTTGTGGAGGATCATAATGCTAACTTAGAACGCTAAAGAGGTTGGACCAGTCATGGACCCTTGGTTTGCATAGAACCATCTACTATGAGATACCGTATGGAAAACTAATTACTAATAGATCGACTAGAATAGTTAGATGTGATATAGTGTATACAGAGCGCATTTAACTAGGGAATACTTTGTTACACAGGCAGAGCTTTGCCTCTTGCCCGTAACTTCGAGGGCACAAGTGTTCAAATAGTGTGTCTGCATAGTCAACGACAAGTGAAAAGATCAAAGTTGGTTTATTAGATACGTTTTTTTGTTTTCCTATATCAAGGTTATGCCAAGGTATGATACTCGGCAAAACAGAAGAGAGCGGTGACAGAAAGCATTTCACGTCCACGTACTTCATCCAGACTGAGCAAGTCTCATAATAACGTATTAATGAATCTAATTTTTGTTAAATCTATCCCCAAATTTTGCGCTAGTGCGACATATTGGTATGGCCAGCGACGGGGGCAGCATCAGCTGCTTTCGCAACGTTGCATTCATCAGCCGCGACTGTCATTGAGCTGACGCACGCGTTTTGGCCGTACCATAGAAATGATATATATCTATTTCGCGCTCCCAGAATCCTGCAGTGCGCGTTGTAGCGGCGTGGTGTTCAAGTAGACCTGGACATCCTGCCAACTTATATGGTGATACTTTGAAGTTATTTCTAAGGGACTGCTGCTTATTGTTCCTGAGAAAAACGAGCTGCAGACGGCCGGTGACCAGCCGAATTGACGAATAGTAAGCAAAACGGCATTGTGTTTTAATTGACGTTAGACTAGCGTGGATGTTTATCTGCCTAGCTGCTATCGGAAAGCCGCATATAAAATCGTCTAGGATGCAGTGGCTTGAGGAAAAAATTTGGTCAGAGAAATTTCTAAGGTGAATGTACTGCGTGTAGATAGATGCCGTAGTATAATCGAACTTCGTCAGGCAACTTCATTGGGACTTTGAGCATTAAATGTAGCGATATGCAGAGTGTTTGTTTGATGATTTTGAAGATACATGAGCTTCGAGAAACTGGTAAATTCAAGCCCCGAAATCTTCCGTTTGCTCAGTAATCGCCCGGTTAGTTCGGGTGACTTCGTCCGCGAAGGGCATGAGGGCAAGAATGCGGAACGTTCCAACGTTAGAATGATTAAAGCGATACCGTTCCACTTGACAGTGGGACATCAAATGAAGAATAGGGATTAGTTCGAATAAGATATGGAAGTCAATAAGCAAATAGAGTGCCTATTCTAGTGAAACCTCGACTTACTGCCGCTCATTCACCTTAAATTTACTTACAAGGACAGTCAGAGATCTGTTTAGCGATAGGTACAATGATTCATGCAGAAGAGTCAAGAAGATTACAGTTTGTCACTAAATAGGCACTTATACCAGATGGCCAGAAGTCTATTAAATATTCAAAAGTTGACTTACATGAAAGAATAAAGCAATGGTACACGCGATATATTAACTGAAGCACTTTACAAAAAAACTGCGTCTCTTAACTTGTCATAGGTGAGCCACTTTTAATTAGGTACCAATTATTCTAAATCTAAGCTCTCTATGACTCGAACGAGAGAGGAAATGCTCTATACGTACGGAACATACAAACACTTTGTTTAGAATTTACATAGTGATTTTGTCTGACTATGTAGATTTCCCTAAGAATTTTTCCTGATCTCTTTATCTAATGGTGGCTACCTAAAATAGTATGAAGTAGACAAACCCAAGAATTAAACTGTACTTTCAAACGCTTTCAACCTATGAGTCAAACTGGAGACCTGTAAAAATAGCCTTCGCATTACTAAATGCTACTACCAAAGCGTCAACCTATCGTTCACGCTAACGTTACTTTACGTTAATTACGCTTTACGAGGAGGTAAACGTATCGAGTCCAACAGCAACGCCTGCAGCCAAGCGACGGACATTTTCGCACTCTACGAGTGTTTTGTACTGATCCTATTCCCTCGGTGCTGGTCTTTTCGTCTTCTCGTTGCCGACTTTCGTAGCTGTCTACGATTAATCGAATGGAAGTTATTTTTGAGTAGCTCATACGCTTTGTGGCATCTATTACAGAAAATAGTCTGCTGTTCGGTATTTGTAAATGAAGTTAGTATAGCATACCAATACAAGGTTGACATGTTGAGACCGGCTTACGTAGCCCATTGTACTGAATCTGCCTAGTGCTTCGGCCCACAGAGCGTATCCGCTACGTGCCGCGTGTAAAAATAGATTCGCTTGGCACTGGGTCAGCGTGTATTTATACTATTCTGGGAGCCAACCTTAGCTTTAAAGGGATTATAGCCTGACAAAAGCTGACCGTGCTGTAGACAGCTGGTTGAAAATACCGGTTATTTCAAAAGACATGTTTTTCCTTTTACAAGCATAAGTAAGGCATACAAGTAAACCTGTGTATATTTCTACCTGTTTGTGGCTGGCTGTAGAATTTTTTGCAATATGGTATTATTTATCAATCTGTTCGCGTCACAACTTATTCTAGCTGGTGACAGTAATTGTCTATTAGCATTTGCTGCCCACTTGGGCCCTTAGTAAGAAATGTATCTGTACTAGCACCGCAAACTTGTCAATCCTTTTATAAGGTGAAACTCTCCTATGACGTAAAGCCTTTCTGTAAGGTAATTAATATACAAGGTCCTAAAATTTTTGTTTATGGCCCACAGAGCCTAGCATGAATGTGATATGATGAGCTTTCCCAAGCAGCTTGTTAGCTAAATTGTCTTGACATAGGTTAATTAGGTTTTAAGATGCCGTGTAGGGAAACTGCCATTCCTAAAATTCGATTTCTCTCAAAAGGATTTATTTGTATGTATCGATCTAGTCCATATATCGCTTGCCGGAATCGATGATTTCCGTAAGTAAGGTGCATCTGAAGTCATAAAATTAAATCAGAGGTGTAAACGCGAGGATCCTTTTACATGGCTAGATGATGTACAACATGATTATCTACGTATTGTTAGATATAATGAAGTGTGTTAAATATAATGAAGTGTTAGGGTCGTTCGCCGACGAAGAATTACTTCGTTTTACATAGACAATTGTAGCCAAGTTAGCTATTAGGATTAGACCTCCATATAAGTCAAATCATACAATCAACGTATTCATTATTTTATCTAAGATTCGTGACTCAGCTGTTAATAAATAGAAGTATGACATAATTAATAACAATGATCACTTTGTCTGTCTACCTCAGACAAGTGACTGATGACCACAGCCCCTGACAACCGTGCGTGTAATCATGGTAAACGGTCTATTTTAGCGGTGTACAAAGGTGAAAAGTCCAACCCTTCTTTCGCAAATGTCCATATAGCCGTCTAATACCTACACCTGGCCACAAAGACCCCTGACACCAAATACGATATGAATGGTATGTAGAATTATCTGTGTATACATGTATTATATAGACGTTGTTTATACGTATTTGCATTGAAAGGGTACATAGAAAATCCTTACATCTTGAGATTAATATTGCTTGATCTCGCTCGTCTAGGCACTCGTGTGCCTTACGTGTAACTTATCGCAAGCTAACAGTGATGAATACTGTTTCAATTTTCTGAAAGTTAATTTACTAGATTTTATATCATTGATCCTATGGGTCATGCCCAAAATACGACAGGCAATACTCGTTTTATTATGGACCTTGCATTTATGCGCGCAAAGGTACATGGGGTTAGATGCTCGAGTTTAAAAGACAAACCAAGTAGATAAAATCGTCCCCGAACGCGGGATGTTTTTCTAAATAAATATATCGGTAGCGATTCATCACCAGTTAAGAGTTACGCAGAGAAAATGATTAAATTTTATATTATTATTCTATCCATTAAATATCACCGATGTTAAGACGCCGCTACCGTCATATTGTTGCAATCGTTTGTATCAGTGCCAGTCTTCTTAGCAGAACGACGATCATCCTGTGTGTTATGTTCCATTGATTAGAACTTATGGGAACACCTAAACTTGGGAGATGGCTTTACTTATGCAGTAACAACAAGTTCAACGTATGTCGCACCACCTACTATCAATCTACCTAACTACATGCCTTTGACGAAGCGTCTACTGCTGCAAGGCTTCTGGGGTCAATGATTAGTCTTGCAAGAACAGCTTGTGCTCAAGCCACTAGCGTCGCCTGGTTCCCTGACTGGTCGCCTGACGTTCAAAATTGGTCTAAGGACGCCTTCAATTGTGCCATAAACGCTGTTCGATCATCGGCTCACAAATTTGCCCTTCTTTCCTTTGGTGGCACTCGGGATCCCTAGGCCGTCTTCGTAAATGGGCCGGACCCAATTGGCACTGCCGACTCATAATGGAATTGGTTACTTTGTTTGCCAATAGCATAGGGCAATTGTGGCTATCGCAAGGCTGGACCTGCAAGACCAACAAGCAAGCCAATATAATATACTAGGTGCGTTATTCCATTCGCAAGCTTTCTCAGTTTAAGTTACGTGGAAACGCAAAGGCTGGAAGCTGCAGGATGCGCTGGTAATGGACCTAGCGTAAAGCATCAATGCACTCAAAGGATTAATGAGGAAGTCATGGAAAATGGCAACATACATTCTTTTCTGCCTGGAGCAAAAGCCCTATCTGAATTTGATTCGGTTACTTTCATTCCGACTACAAGCGACGAAAAAATACAAAGCTTTACGATGCTGATTTCTCGACAAAAACAATCCGTAATGCAATCAGACTATCAAAGATGTTACTTTAAAGAGGTCTTTGGTTCTCCAGACTTTTGTCCGCTAAATATCCTATTTGAAAGTTCCAATAAGGTAGGCATAATGAAGGATAGCTTTGGGCCAACTCCTCTAGATAGCTAGTTAAGAAATTAGCATACGTTTTGCCGTAAGTCGATTTTCTTCTTTTTAAAAGAACCGCCTGTTTGATAACTTCACTGGTTTATGCGTATATATATGTATATATATATATATATATACATATATATGTTGTTGTGATAAGGCGAAAATGGCTTTTCTTTCTAACAGATACTACGCTCCACAAAGTGTTCTTCCGCTATCGGCTGAGCTAAGCGTTTGTGGTAGTCTTTTGAAACGCTTTTTCATATACGATTTCCCTCCTCAAATACGCGCCCCATCATTTATGCGCCTTTATCCAGGCCTTCGGGCAATAGCCTTGTATAAAGTCAACATTATATATCAGCAATATGTTAGCCAAGGGCGCTTATGACGAACAGTTGACATCTTCGTTGTCAACGTGACTCGCTCAACTAACGTAATAGCTATGTTACAATAATATGCCGCAAGCAGACTCCAAACGATTCAGGTGTTTTGTGCTGCCCACGAGCCGTAGTCTCGTTACGACGATTTCAGCTGATTCAATGTCCACTCCGCCCTTGAGGACGAGATGGTAACCAGCTTCTATCGAATACTCTCGTTTCCCTCAACGATAAGTACGCTTGCAAAATCCTTATTTTGCTTTTGTATTTGCGCCTGTTGGGTTCCCAAGTGTTTTCACAGTTCATTTTTTGTGCACGCGCAACCTTTCTATTGTACTTCTGCGCGAGACACCCGGTGGCAAGAGAGGCGGTATTGATAGCCGCTGCTACTAAAAATGCTTAAAATTGTGCTCAACTGTTGTGCAAAACCAGCGTGCATTCCGCTTATCCCTCATCCTGAAGCAGAGGCGTAAAAGTTACGAAATACGGTCATATTGTGTGGCGTTCCACCGGAACACGTTGAGATGGAAAGGTAAACGGGTATAAACACCAGTGCGAACACTGCAGGCTAATAGTTCCCGTTCCGCCTTGCACAAAGGGATCTCTCCTACCACTACTTGTCAATACCGTTCCGGCGACTTACGTATGCACGCCGCCATCCCCACGTCAACTCCGCACCCATCCCTGTTATTGCGATCGCTTTCGATGGCCTGGCCTGTTTTGGCCGCAGTTTTGGCCTGCGCTGTCCGAACAAGAACTAAAAAGGACAGGACAGGGCTTGAAATGACGCGTATGAAAATATGGCATCTATCTTTCTGGATTTATGATTATGTTTTGCATTGCACATTTACTTGCGTGTTCAGTCTCATTTCCTGGTTGCACCCAGATAGGTGCGTTGCATTGAAATCCTTAAGCCGAAAAAACTTCGTGTAGGTACCATTTTATCTGACCTCGAAATGTTCCTGTCAGAAGCGGGTTTGCTAGCGGCAGTTTTTTAATGACTCCGACTGATCTAACTTTTGATTCAATAGGACCGTTTCAAGGCCACTACGGTATGGAAAGCTAGCTGTAGAATTTGGCCTTCGCAGCAGCCAACGCTCGAAGTCAGCGAGTCATGGAATCGAAGCAGCTTTCGGTTAAAAAACTAACGCAGGCCAACACGACTGAATCGAACGACGTTAGTGGCGGAAACTGCTAGAGGCCGTTTCTGCTTTCCCTGCGCTACGGCGATCATAAATGAAGACGCTTCTAACACCATCAGCATCATCATACGCATCACATGTAACCGTACGACTGCCTACATTTCACTACATACACGTATAAGGCCATAGGACTGCCTGGCCCACGAAAGCCAACATTGCTGTTCTAACATGGCCCACGTTGACGTCGCCATCATCACGACAATCATCAGCGCCGCCGGTGTCGGCGGTCTACCTAAGGCAGCAATACGGCAACGTAAGAAACGCATTAAGGACAACCGATAAGACGAGAAGGATCAGTAAAGATACCATAGGTAGTTGCGAGACGTACTCAGCCATGCCGAACAAACAACGATGAGAATTGTCGCAACAACAATGAAAGGTCATGAGTGAACTGTAATTATTTTCAAGCTCCTATACACACTGCATCGGGCTTGACAGAAATCAACACTAACCTTATTCTATTTTATTGAAGGTGCGGAACTTGCAATTAGCTGAACCGTCCTCGTAAGGCGTAGGCTTAAGTCAACGATGCACCAGATAGATAATCATGTATATTGGTCGTAAGCAACTGCGTTCTAGACTGTGTTATTATACTTACCAAGCGTTGTAGACATCAAAATATAATATTTGCATCTAGAGAACAACTTTCCAACGAAATATTTGCTATACCTCGCTTCGGGACAAGGTGAAAAAAGCTGTAGACGTTAGTCGAAAGGGATATTCCCCGAATTCGGCTTTTTACACTGGCCAGACAAAGTCAGTAGGGCAAATCGAACATAAACATTTAAGCCCCGTTTATATCATGCGTAACTGTGTGACTTGATAGCGTATGCCTTCGTTATAGATAGTACATTGCTAAGCGCGAATTTTGTTGTCCACTGGCTTGGAAATGCTTCATTGTAGATTCCGCTCTAGAAACGTATGAGTACAATCTCATAGCAGAAACACACTTAAACCCAATAATGTTACTGAAACTAGCTAAAGGTAAAGCGGTTCTCAGACGACGCTATTCTTAGCCAGGGCTGTTTGTGTTTGAACCATGTAGAAACAATACGATTAATGAATTTTCATTCATACATTGAATAACGTGCTATAGCAAGAAATAGGCCAGGGGAAACATCAATATGGAGGCAGAATATAGCTATGAGTGATGCCATACAGAACGACGAAAACGTTGTATGTTTAACAATGAGCAAATCGTTATGGGCCTGCCTTCTTTCCGCAACGGCAGGAACATTTCATCCGTATGCAAAAGCCTTAAAGAGGACAGCCCGATATATTCTCGAGGTCCTGCTCTACAATAGACTTTGTTGCACAATCCTTTCGCTTCCACCATGAATAGCTCGTCATGTTGCTTGTACTGCATTTATATTTAAACATGTCCACGTTCGTATAGCGTTGCTGTATAAAAGGCGCTAGACCGGTCATTTAATAGATTTCATTTGTCGCACTAACCCGATCCGTGGACATTTCTATTCCGCAATGCTTGTCATTTACAATATTACGATGTAACTACCCTCAAGTTCTATATTATGCACTTGTTCAGTATGTCTGTCGCATGTGACCGAATTTTCGTCTGCTAATTGCACAACATCGGTTCAGTACGCAGTTATAGCGTTATTTAGGCGCTCTGGGCTTTGTAGAAATGGGTTACATTTAGAAAACACGCCGTATAGCGTATGTACGTTTACTTCATGCCTCATATGTTGCGTACTGCCTATCAGTAAATCAATTTACCGGAAGCGACTGATTATCCGATGTTTAAAAAGGGGGTGCTCCAAAACTGTTACAGGACAAGATCGGTTCAGCTTTGATAGCTCTTGCAGAAGAAGAAGCAGTCTAAAGTTAATTTGAGGTTGACAAACCTTCGGTAGGGGCTACAAGTGAAATCACTATAATAAGACTTATAGCGTTCACTCGAAGACGGAGCCAGTGGCTAATAGGTGACGTTTTCGTTGTCCTATTACGCTTTAGCGTAAACGGAACTTTTTTTTATTTGTAGTACGCAAGAGACAAGCTCACTCATCGAAACACTTCGATGAACACGACTCAGAAACTAAATACTGTGCAAGTGATCTCATTTACTAATCCCCTAATCTAATAAATAGCATAGCCAGCTAGTAATTGCTATATAAGCAGGTTATCGTCTTTAACGGTTTCCGTTTCTCGCCGCTGGAGGTGATTAAAGTACTAGTTACCAGTGTTCGAGGTACTAGTTACCAAGTACGAGGCCGAGTATATCGCAACTTCTCTGCTATTACACTGCAACAGGCCGAATAAATCGCCTTAATGGTGTACATTTGTAACTAGCATTAAGTGGATGTATTCCTTACTCGAATATTAGCGCCACCCGAGCCCGCTTATCACATAAACGACAGATACCGCCCTATGCCTCGCTACGGAACACATCTGTTTGATGCGAGAGATGTTACATAACGAAAAAGTATTGATCCTTTCAAGTTAAAATTCAAGTTCAAAGTAATACGCTGACCTGGTCAGCGGCCTTGTTCTATATTTTTAGTAACACCATAATATGAATTTCGAAGTAGAACTTCTGTGCGAGAAAATTCAAGCAAGTAATTTTCGCATCGGTCTGTTGGAACTAAACGACGATCATCGAGGTTGTTTGACAAAGACTGAAACAGGCAGTAGTCCGCTGGCAATCGAATGGCGCAAGATACCGGCTGTCTGGCGAAGGCTTCAGTATTTATTAGTTCATACTTTTGCTGGGTAGCTAAATACGTATGTGATTTGGCATTGTCGTAATGGTAAACGATGTCCTTTATGTTAATTAGTCACTTAATCGGTTGGCATTAAAAGTCCGAATCAATCATTTTGCCAAGCAGAAGGAACTCAAGATGCACGATGTTTTTCCAACTAACTAACACAGAGCACGGCCTCCTTTGGAACACAGTTTCCTATTTGTACAATGTTGTTGTATGTAGTCTATTAATTTTAACCAACAACTTTAGAAATAGTTCTATGTTGTTGCGCTTCTGTAAAATTTCATCGATACAAATACGGCCGAATTTATTTTTTAGCATGAATTCCTATGGCACAGAAACACGTAAGTTTTTTAATAGCCATTTTCTTTAGAATCGTTCAAAACTGTTTGGTGCCGTCCCTTGCCGACGTCATAGCCTTACTTGTCGGTCCTACTTGAACAAGAAGGTCAACTCTTCTCTAATTGTCCATAGCGAAAGTAATGAACACTTCTTTAGGCCGTTTCCTACGACAATTCATTTAGACCATGAATAGCGAAATTTTGTATGAGTCTGGGCATCATTTGTGCCCTTATCGTCGTAAAATTATAAAGCAGAAAGTTTACCCACCTTCAAAGCGCCCTTTGTTAAATCTGAATGAACGTGTTCAACAATTTAGTACATCTATCGGTGGCAAACTTCAGCTTTCGAACGCTATAGACGAACCATGATGTACCTGCCCGTCGAACAAAAAACTAATTAGGTGTTCATATTCTTTCGGAAGGAGAGTTACGTGAAGTAAGTTTCGGATTGACTCGCGCAGCGACGTATGTGACATGTAAGTATCTCATCCACCGCTTCTGGGCTTAGCAAATGATGCGTGGTGGCGTGGGTTCAAATCCGAACGCGGACACTTTTCGTTTGGGTGGAGCCAAAGCTCGTTTCGACTGGCTGGAACCACTGTTTTATTTGACGGAATGACTGACCAATGGCGATATGGGAAGTAAAACTCGAAACAATTAGGTTTATCAAATGAGAGTCACCTCTGCTAGACATATTTGTTCATGTATATGTGCTAATGTCTATTTGATATATGTGTTCTGTAATACGGCATATACCTATATTACTGAAAATACAAAATTAACCTTTACAGCAAATGTAGACCCAGCTGATAAAATGATGACATCGCCAAGGCCAGTTACGTCGATTTCTATCGTACGCTGCATAGCGAATATTAAAGGACAAAAAGCCTACCAAAATATAGGATTATTATCGTAGCAGAATCTATTTACAATAACGTAACAGATAAATGAGCACTCACTATCACATTTTGAACAAAACCATAAATAAATACGTATTATGTTATAGATAAAACTTTATATCACTAAAGAAAATCGTAAGAAGTATCAGTAGAAAAAAACCCAAACGCAGTAGTAATTTTCACTATTCGATAACATCAACAGACTTTCCGGTCATGTCAGAGAAAATCGTAGCTTTATGCTACTGACTAGTTGCCATAGTTTGTTAGATAGACGGCTAAACAGTAAACGAAATTGATGAAAAGACCAATTGAGAAGTTGTCCTATCGACCCTTCCGCCGTTGCTACTGTCACCGTCGCTATTCTTAAACTTACTTACGTTCTTATATTTTCGGGAAACGATATTGAGCGACGAGAAAAGAGGCGGAGGGTACCGACCAGCGAAAGCCCCTGAGCGTAGGGGCACCGCCAACACCCAGTAGGCACAAAGGGTTAGTTGCGAAACAGAAATCGTTTACCAATACCGAAGAATGCAACAATAGTTAGATGTGGCCAATCCAAGCTACCAATGACGGACGGCAATTAGCGGGTGACGCCAGTCTCGCACAAAAGCGCGACTAACCATGGCAAAGCTATTGATGTATTACGCAATAGATAATTGTAGTAATGAATCGCCACGGGGGAAATGCAGATGTCTCGATCTCTTAGAAACAGCCCGGTGATATGAAGGATCGAATCCTGCAGAACGCAAGAAGACAGTCATTATTTCTGAAGTCCGCTATTTGTGAATCTGCCCGCTTTTTTAGCACGAATAAAGACAGGATGTCGGTAGTAATGAACTTCATGCCGATATTGTCACACAAAAAAAAAAGCAAAAGTGCCTACGATGCTTCCTTGCTGGCCTATCTGCCTACGAAAAACGGAGAGACGCAAAGCTTGTGCTCGAGGCCTGACACATACAGGGCCAAACCTGCAGCTCGGAGCAGTCAGTCTCTGATTGTCGCCGTCGTCTCGATCGCCTATGGGAGAAAAAATCCAAAAATGTAATTCACCCTTAAAGATCTCCCCATTGTTGATATCTGGTATCCGCGTAAAAAAGTTGCGGGTATAAGAGAATACAAAGCGGAATAATAATGGACGCATCAATGAAGTTATATTCACAGAAAAGTATGCTACTGGAATATGATAGAATTGTATTGAAAGATCAGTATAATAATCCTGAACGATTTTCCGCCGGATATTAAATAGAACTAGTAAATACTATTATGCTGTTGGTACTTCTGCAAATACCCGGCGATCACAATTTACGCTCTGTTCGACGAATTAGGACCTGTGTGTTCAGTTTGTGTGCGGGCAGCATTTCGATATTTTTGGGCTCTAAAGGACGCGTTATGGTCTAGGTTCGAACCCGAGCGTAGACAGACAGATGGATTGTTTTATGCTGGCAGGGGCCATCCAGCCATCTCTCTGTTTGTCTATCTGCCTGTTCAATGGCGATATCGGACAGAAAACTCGAAAGGTAGAAGCTTTTTTAGTCTTACGATAGCAACTAATACTATTATCAGTGACTTTGATTTTATATCATGTCTGAATTTTCAGTTGTTTCTTTTGCTGAGATTTAGTTCGACTTTCACAAGCGGCAAGTTCGCTGCTCTGGGTTGAAAATGCTGGTTTCTCGACTTAGGCTCTATATTGAAAAGGGCGTGGTAGTTGGCTGACTTGTGCCAAAGCAAATGTTAATTCCTGTGCCAGCAGATATACCAACGCATGGAGAGTATGGATTGAAAACTTTTATATATCTGCTACCGTTACCAGACCTGCTTACTGTTCGACCTTTTGAAAATACCTTTTGATCACCGGCTTGTATTCAGAAGGCAAGCATCTGCCGTCCGATGCAATGGTGCCGCTTAAGGACAGTTCCGCACGCAAAAATCACAGCATTTTGAAGTTAGTTCTCAATGAGCCATTATATAGTCATGGAGTTTAGTAGACGCACGGTTCAATAAGCCCAATGCCAAGACAACAAAGCTCCGTGACGAAGGGAGGTTATCTACGATTGACTTCAGGATTTAGCGCCAATCCGATTGGCCTATTTTCATAAAACAGGACAAAATGCGAACAACGTAGATATACCGTTTTGTAGATCCACGCGATTTTAACTATTGCTTCTTACACAATAACGATGCGTTCGCAGGCACATATGTAGAATTGAAGGATTATTTTTTGATACAGATTGAACTTTATCAGCTCGACTTAATAGAACGAAAATAGCGACGTTTCTCTGCCGAAAATCATACTACACCTAGTCTCACTGTTACTCTTACATACGTTAAGTATAAGTTGAATTAAGGTGCGTCTTTAACAAAGTACCAGCTTCGGGCTTCAATTTTAACTTCATGAGATGAAACTTAAACAGAAAGTTCACATTTGTATGAGCGACCTTTTACAATTCACGACTCGATTTTATAGGTGTGCAACAAAGTTCCATCGGCGATCCCTATTATGAAAGGGTGTACACGTTACTCAAAGGAACAGAGATTAATTAGGAGTTAAATTGCGTAACTGTGACCTAACCTGAATCACCTAATCAAACTGGAGAATCTTCTGCAAATCCTGTCGATGTGGAGACTTCTGACGACGAGATCTCCCTTTTCGATGTATCAGTGGTGCGAGAGAGGCAACATTTCGACTTGACCGTCCATTAAAATGTCACTGACGGTTTGAAGATTTACGTCCGGTTTTATTGCATCAGACGGCTGATTTCCAACACGAAAGGAAGTGTATCTATGTTCGGCTAAAACCTGAGAGTAGCTGCTGTTATTGCGGGGTTCATCCGTTAACATATATACTGCCAGTTCTGCGGCTCTGCGGCTATCGCGACACAGTAGTTACATTATACGTGGGGCACGAGTTGTTTTACCCACTGCTGACGGCGGTTTCGTTCGGCAGGGTGTTGAAGCTATCGATGCAACGACCAGAAATGGGCAGCTTTCAAAGTGTGTGGCGCTAAATTTGATTGCCGCGGATGTCGGTTGCGTAGTGACGAGTTTCCACTGCTCCAACTGTGAAATGTTTCGTTGGTATAAAGAGAAAAAAACGGTGCTAGACTTGACTTTATTTGTCAGATTTCTTCAAAGCAAAGAAGTATAGTTTCGTAGCTTTGAGCTAGCGAGCTGCGCCCAGTCTCGATTGACTATGCATTAGCGTGATTTTCAATCAATAATGTTTAACCGTTCAGCTTGTCCGTTACTTCGACGGAATTACAGCCACAATGTGTTCGGGTGTTTGCGTTCGGTCTTCCACTATGGCGGTCCGACAGCTGTCACAAATGGCAGGTATCGCGTAAGTCATTGCCAGGTTGGTTAACGGCGATGACGTATGATATGTTCGGGAAAGCACTAGTGGCAGGCACTTCAAAGGATACCTCGTAAGAGAAAAAAAAAAAGATGGCCAAACAACGCGGAACGAACGCGCAAAGGTTGCGCTGTTGCGTTGTTTTCTCTGAAATCTTAAGTCTTTACGTTAGGCGACATGGTCACAAAGCCTGCAGTCACAATTGCGACCTCTTGTAAATGTTGCAGCAATAGTTGTTGTTCGACTAAATATAATGCTATATGATTGTTTCACACTCTAGTCACTTCGGGTCTGGGTCGATCGTCACCACACTATAGAGTGGGTCGGGCAGATTGCTAATTTCTCTGACTGGTTAAAAGTATGGAGAAAGGCATCTGAAAATACTTGAGATACGCAACGAAGAAGAATAATGGGAATAATTAGGTTATCCTTTAACCTTCGTACGAATCATTAACTGAAATTTAGCTTCTTCATCGACAATTATCTTTCATCGTCTGTTAGACTACATTGTGGTAGAATAGAGAAAATCTTCTATTTCATTAAATAACAACACTTTATAGATCTTCTCCTCTATACTGTACAATATCATGAAATGTCGAAATAGAAATGTTGAAGTCAACATGAGTCATCTCAATATACAGTTTTGCTCTACTTTAACACTCTTTGCTCTACTTCGTTGTTTCAATCTTTTACCCTCTAATCCTCGTTTGTTGCCAGGTTGGCTGTGTTGGCCGCCTGTACTGTTTTATTATATTTCGACTATTACTTAGTGATCGTCATGAGTATTATAGCTGGTTTTGGTTGTAGCTAAACGCATCACCCTATGGTTTGTTATTACAGCCTGTTACTTGGCAAGTTACTTGTTTACTCGGCTCGGTCTCTGTTATGTGTGTATATTTGAATCAATTAGGTCGTGCGCTGTTAGACGCTCCGCGACACGTAGACCATTCTGATTTGTGGCAATGACAAGTAGGACGAGTACAAACACTGTTTCTTTGTCACTGTTGTATTTATCACTCAGCAACGAGGTGTGAGGTGCAAACTTTCCAGCGACCCTCGATTTCTTTTGGGATCCATTCGTTTGATCTATGTGTTCGCTTTTATGCGACTATAGGACGTCCGCGTAACTCAAACTTATGGCCTTATTGTGACGTGGCCTTAACGTACTCGACGAACATATACAGCGATAAAAAGCGTTGGAAGTTGCGTTACGAGCTCGAAGCTGGTAAATGCTAATAATGCCATACATGAATAGCAAACGCTGGATAAACACGGCCACAAGCGTAACATCGGGCCAGGTGGTAACAAAATTCAACGAACGCCCATTTGTCTCCTGGGTCAACCAGCATAAAGACATAGCAAAGCGTATTAAATTACGTACGCAATATTTTTCTTCCGGCAATTAGGTCGTGTATGTGAAACGTTATTATTATGTTCAGGCCGGTCAGTAAGGCACTTTTTGCCTTGAATCACCTACAATGATGACGCGGCCTCTGTCTTATTAATTGAGATAATGTGTTTCTGCTCGTGAATGAACCGTTTGAGAGTATGCTAAAGATACTAGATATAACGTTTACTCTACTAGGCCATAGGCCATCAAAACGCCAAAAAGGCCATAGGCTATCATACAATCATAATTGTTGTAGACGTTATATATGTAGAATTGCACATCGTATTTGTACACAGTACAGACAATGGTAACATTGGCCCTGGAGTTCGATTTTCAGCTGTGAACTGAGGATGCGTCCCATTATCCGGTTGATAAATAATCCTGCAGTTCTATGTGTCAGGACCACTTTTCACCGTCCCTTATCATTATAAATAGAGATAAGTACTCTAACTTCAATTTGTTACTAACATTTATCATGTAGATTTTGATTAACTTTATTCTTATTCAACCAGCATTTTTACAAAATTCAGAGGAACTAAATTCTATAGTATAGCCGTTGTTACCGAAATTTTCTTTAGGTGTACCATGTATGTTGAAAAACAGGTTCAACACCCAGGTGTTATTTCTCAATTCTCGGAAACCGTCGCACCGTTCCTTTCAATATAATTTTCCATTTATACTGATTCTGTACACTGTGTCCCTATAGCACACCGGCCCGAGAGACGAGGCCATTTCATTCTCGATTGCATTTGCTCTGGAATATTACAATACTTCCACTTAGGTGTATAATACTCGCAACGCGTTCTTATAAATTCAAACACTTCCATTGGCACTGTAGTTCACGAAAGGAGACGGATGCTAACTGAAAGCCGAAACATTCATCTGTATCTTGTCGAGGCGGCCTATTCCCCTACGCGTCCTCGTGCCTATACTAGGACTTCACACTATTAAAATGTATACAAACAGTTTACGTAAAAGGACCACCATCACGGCCGGTTCCCGCAGGATTTACATAGCTACTTAAAATCCATGTCTCCGAGCCCCTGTCGCCAGCCAGCTCGTCGCTTCTAATAAGGTATGCAGTGTCATAACACCATTCTCAAAATTTGTCGCGGTTCTATATAAACAACAATAGTAGCAGTCGGAGCAAAGAGACTTGAAAGTACTAACTAAAAGTAAATAAACAACCTTAAATAAGGCTGAGGCTTTACGGAAGCGACCCCGGAAAGCGACGGACTGCTCCTTCATAGCGGAACGACGAGACATACGCTGCCCCGGCACGATTCGATAATAAAATTCTGTCAGCAACTCAGACCTTGATGACAGCCGCCGCCGCCGTACAACTTTGAAAAGGCGGACGAGAAGCTGCTTTTCACTGGGTGCAAAAAATATACTACATGTAGATATTCGCGATGACGGCGCTTGCTAAGTGTCGTACACTAGGAAACCAGTGAATGCGTGTTTACATAGAATATACATTAGGGAACACATACCAAACCGGAAAGAGTAAAAAAAAAGGGCTTAATTTAGAGTTTCAACTGCTGTATAAAATGGAGGTATTGCAGCAATGCAAGTTCTCATAGCCTTAAAACATAACCTTGTTGTTATTGGCTTGTCCTGCAGTATAACTTAGTTAAAGCAAGAAGGCCATTATAGAGAGAGCACAATATTTCGTGAGTAAATAGCACTGGTATGGTATATTTGGCGTATGAATATTTTTTTTTTTAAGTTTTAATCTTACTATGATACTTTGAAACTATTCGTATGAGTTCTCGAAGGTCACATATCTTATGTCATACAATTTGTCGCAAAGTGAATAATTTTCTTTTTGGGGTAATGCCAGTGAAACCAACCCGCTCAGCTGACGACTGTAATCGTTTGGCCCCCGTTGGCACAACGTTACGTTAAACATAAGCACTATGTATACACTTTTTTTTCTTTCAGCATCGTTTGCTCTATTACATCAATATAAGTATATTTCTCATAATCTGTTCCTATATCCTATTGATCTAACTTCGAGCAAAACAATATGCGCAGCTGGTTCACTAATTCAGACAAGCCTGTCTTATCTACAGTTTATGTACCAATATGAGTCTTTTTGCTCTATCGGTAGCTTTCTATTGCTATCGCGAGCCGAAAGGCGCTGCAGGTCTGCTACATACAGGCGCACTTTTCTCTTTATCATTAGCCCTCCCCGAACCCTTATAGTTTTCCCTGAACCCTGCGAATGTTTCGGTGTTCGTCGGCGTCCCCCTGGCATGGGTACTATGGGCCATAGCCATCGATGAAGACAAATGTCCCAGAAAAACAAAACGAAGCAAAAGGACGTCGCAGAGGCCGGCGCCGCGGAGTATCACATCGCATAAAAACATTTGTTTGGCACGGCCTTTCGTCTGTCAGACATATAATTTCTAAGGCAGACAGAGAAACAGAAAGGGGCAAAATAGCTGTTGAGAAGACTTCAAGAGAAAGTCATTTGCTGCCCCAGGACACGAAAAAGCTAATCCTAGTAGTTGCGTATGTGTGTCCATGTGAGTATATATTGTGTAGTTAATTATATTAATAGGCTAAGGCTCTTCGGCCGATTGGTCGCCTTCCAGGCGGGCTTGGAGGGAGCCGGTCGGCCTGCTCCGTCCGTAACTTCGTGTTTGGCTGTCGGCTTCAAAGACTAGTGTAGGCGATGACCATTTCAGGTGCTGTTGCTGATGTCTTCGTCATCGTTGCGAAGGGTGTGGATACGATTGTATGGAAATGTAATGGTATCATGGCATACCAGGTATTTTCGTTGTGGAAGTAAAGCCGTTTTGATACCTGCAATAATGCTATCATTGTACAGTTGTATTTTCGTCAACTAGGCTATATGTTATCTGTTCTCTGATATAACCTTATAGGCCAGCGCTAATCGAAAAATATTATAACAGGCTCTGGAAACATTTGAATACGCTAATGCCGCAGGGCGTACGCGTAAGTTGTGGCCCCATTAAAGCACTACTTACCGTAAACTCTCAAATGTTTCGACTTTACGACTTATACCATAAGAAGTACCAGATGCCTATTATATTTGGCTTTTGTGGGAGAACAAATCCCTAAAGAAGTCCTGTAAGATTGGGTTACATTGTTGTATCGGCTCAGACATTTCAAATCCGCTGAAATTTTTACTAAAACCCATAAAAATATATAACAAACAATTCAATGATGGGATTAGCCTTACGAATTGCAATAAGTGCGAACCGTATGTCAATATGTATTTGAAGGTCGTTCCGTGTGATTAGGGTCCGTCTGATAAGAACATATACCTAATTATACTCATTGGCGAGCCATACGCGTTCTTGGAACACACGTGGATTTATCTTTAAACAAATATGCTTCAGTTTTCGCAAAAAAAACCATCTCATTTAGAAGTGTGGTGTTTAATATCGTTAATGTATCTTTAATCAGTGCACTTACGCTGTATGTCGACGTCTGTGACGATCCTTGATATAATCTCTAGCTCCAACGCCTCCGCCTCCGCCTCACGGAGCCTGCCGAAATACTATCAGGAGTTCGATTGGTCCGAGGGACTGCGTTAAGGTTTGTCGGGTAATTAGCTGTTACGTAAACCCTCTCATGCATTGACCGTTCTTGTAAAGAGAAGCTTGCGAAAGAAAGCGGATTTGCTTTCGTTCGCAAGCCTCAGCGCGCGTTTTACACGAGTCTTTGTTATAGGTCAGCACCGTGTACTCACAGTAGCTCGAACAAAGCCAATGACTTTTGGTTGTGAAAAGGATGACATCCGAATGGTAAGGTACCCGTAATACCTTAGCGGGCAACGTATTTGTCTGGAAATCTTAGGAACACGTTGTGGAGTAGGTTCGAAACCGGGTATAGATAGACTTCGTTTCGCGGTGAGAGCCAGCCGTCCGTCTGGTGAAATGAGTGCCTAAGGGTGACAGAACGGACGTAAAACTCGAAATGTAGAGGAGGACATGGCGCGTACGATGCGTTTCCAAAGTACAAATGTCAGGCTGATTGGGATGTGTTGTCTATCTACGATTATGTAATTATCCGCATTTGCTTATCTTTTATTAGCGGCTTTTGTTGTTAAGGTAACTGTTTAATAGATTACGTGCTAACCAGGTTCGCTGTAGAGCAGAGCTTGATGAAGTAGACGTACGTGACTCTATTAAGTTTAATCATTAAGAAAATGTTCATTGATACATTGATGACCGCGCAGCTATTGAAAACAGTACGTCCAT